AAATACAAGTAATAAAGAAAAAAGTTAATCATAGAGATTCTGTTTTTGAAACTTAGATTTTGGAAACAAATTAGATTATTACAATCAGATATAAATCCTTCAAGTGCAAATTAGAGAAAAGCTAGTACCTATTTTTAGGCGAATGTGTTGAGGCTGCGGGTAAGGTTTTGTTCCAGCGTGACTAAGCAAAATATTTTGAGGTTTCAGGTCTCGATGGACAACACCTTTTGCATGGAGAGCCTTCATAGCCCCGGCTGAAACAAAAAGCGACAAATCAGAACAGCATATGCAAGTAGAGATACAAAGGGGGAAAATATTAAAGAGGAATAAATAACTCTCACGAAACTGTAAAAGTGTTTTGCTCAGAAAAGTTTTTGAAACCAGCTGTTGAAAAAACCTAGGTTGATATGTGATGGGTCAGAAATGATTTAATTACAGAAAAAATGGGTTGCTTGAGCTTTGCTTTTCAGTTACAAACAACGGCTGAAGCTTGTGAATTGAGAGTGATGACATCTCATAAAAACAGGGTTTCCATAAATTTGTTTTTGGATTTGTTGACTTTCCCTAACTCATTTTAGTTTCCCTAAACTCCAAAATTTTTGAATTCCCTGACTTACTTTGACCTAATTAAGTTGATCGAAATTTTGACTTAAATTTTTTTCTTTGACCTAGGCTGCTTTTTGCTAAAATGTAAACAAACTCTCCGGTTACAGATATTTAAATTAAATAAAGAAACTCTTTGAAATTATTGGTTCTCTCTTGACTGGCACCGGCTGAAAATGCCGATGCACTATTCATGACATTTACTGATTTTTTCCAGAAATTCCTGACTTTCTCTGATTTTTTCAGGTTGCCATGAATTTTTTAACCTTCCAGGTTTTCTAGACTGTTTGAAACCCTGCAGTTGATCAACAGAAAATTTGATCCATTTATTGACTGACGATAAGATAGGTCTTTCAAAACAGGTCTTTTTACAATATATTGACTTTGATCCTGGATCTTTCTAATTTTGCCTTATTTATGAGGAAATGCAATTCTGTAGCACACGCAACTGACCTGATGTGATACCTACAGGAGTCAAGACGAATTATCAAAATAGAGATTTGAAAAAACATGAAAAAACTTACCTAGTTGCGTAAGAAAGAGTCTGATGGTATCTTCACTTAAAGTTCCTTTTTCTGGAAATGAATACAAAATAACAAGTTATGAAAGTTATTGAATTTTTTTGTGGGTTTTTACTACAATTTTTAATTAATCCAAAACCACAAGGTTTCCCCACGTTTTCATTATTCCTTTCTTCTCTTGTGGTAAATTTAAAAACTAACAGATAGATGAGGAAGGAGAACATGAAAAAGTGGACAGAATTGATGAAAAGCAACCTAATTACTTGGTCTGAAACTCTTTTTAGGGGCTAAGGTTAGCTGGAAAGTTTGATTTATGATACCTTTAGGGTTAACAAACTATTAGTTTCATGTTGACATTGATTGAAACACAATGTCAAGGTTAAAAAATGAATCCTAGTAATGTTTCTTCTACTGTGGAATATACACCAATCAGTAAGGTAACTGTCCATATGCTTCTTTTGATGGTAACTTTTCTCTAGCAAACTTGAGTAGGGCTGCAGGGTGAAAGCAGACAAGACTTGAAACTGTTAAGGCAGAAAAACTTAGAACCTTAAGCTAAGATGGAATCTCAGGAATTAAGCCAAAGATGACAAACTGTGTTGCCCTTCTGGTGGTTATTATCCTACACTTCAACTTCCTCCTTCCCCCAAAAAAAGAGAAAATGTAGAGATGAAAAAAAAAATACTAAGTATAAAATTGGGCCATTGATTACCTGTTAAATAATCTGCGAGATCTCCTCCATTGCAAAACTATAAGAAGAAAAAAGAAAAACAATACTCAGCAAAAGATGCAAAATGAATGAGGAATATGAGACTTCATTCACATACTGAAATTACGGTGATAAAATTATTGTTACCTACTTTTATTTGATGATGAGTAAAAATATATCCAGATATCACACAATTGAGTTCCAAAGAAATGTTAATTAATTAGTGCTGCACATCTGCTTCATTACTATTCTGAGCGGCATAGAAAATAAGTAAGGTCATACAATGAATAAATTTTCAGTTTTAATTTTTTACACATCCAGATGAAAGAAAAAAAAGCAGCTTCTAAAAATTTTAAAGTTTGAATCGATCAGATGCAAATAAAACGGGAGAGAAGTTGCAGTAATTTCTTTTTTTTTCAAGAGAGGACACTACTAATTATTATTCGACAAATTCTGTACCAGATACTGAGATGTGATGGGAAGATAAGATCTCTAATCATATTTACCTCCATGACCAGAAAGACATGCATTGAAGACTCCTTGCAATCCAATAAAGCCACAACATTTTCATGGTGTAGTTCTGTCAGTTCCTGAAAAATAAAATCAGGAGTCATCAAAATTTCATTAATGAAAACAATTTGAATACAAAGATTGAGAAAAAAACACCCGAGGCAGTGAGTTTGAGTATGCACAATACGTACTATGCAAACCGTGCATTTTGAAGAGAGTTGCAGGATTTTCAATCAGCTCAACATGATTTTTATGCAATTTTACAAAAAAAGAGTGTTGTTGATTGAGAAAGCTTAAAAGTAATACAATTATTGGTCAAAGAAAAGTTTCTTTCTTGGGCAAATAAATTGAGAAAACATTCCAATCACTATAAGGGAATATCAGTGAAAGAACAGTATATACTTGATAGATTACTTACTTTCAAAATTT